CCCTGTGTGCAAAATCTAATCCCGACGATGTAACATAGTAATCACATAAAGATGTGCGACTGTCATATTTTTTGCGCATGGACATCTCAGAGAATATCTAGGAACGCTTAATGTCCAGAAACAGGAAGTTACTAAATGCGATATTCACAAAAATGCTTTACATGTGAAATCACTTCTTACGTGCAATATTCAATCTTAGCGATGTAACATAGTGGTCCCATTGTGCCATGAGAGGTTTATTTAACTACTCAGAGGCTTCCCAGAGATATTTCTGGGATGCTTAATGTCCTAAAATGAGAAGTTACAGACAGTCTATGTTACATCACATTGCAATTTTTATTGACAGTCGTTTGTAATATCAATGTCCGGAAAAAAAACAAAAAATATAGATTGATAGGTAGGTTTAAGATGGTATTTTACACTTAGTGAGATTTGAACTTAATACCCTTAATCTACTAATACCTACGCCTACCTACCGGGACACCCTAATCAGATACGTAGTTGTATATAATATGGCGTACTTAAATTCGTGTGATAAATTAGGTACCTATGCAATCAGTTAGTTAACAGTTCACCTACTTATATTTTTTTAGAATAAATTATATGGTTGAAAAGAGAAGTTAATTGAACTTCAGTAACAACTTGAGATTTATTTTCAATAAATTCGTGGGATTGTCATTCTTGATATAATATGTAATATAATATTATTACTAATTAATGAAGATGTAGAAAACTAAACAATTTATTTAATTTTCAAATGAATTTGTTTTTCCAAATAAAAAATTGTTTAACAGTATTTTAATTAATATTGCACATGAACATGATTTAATTTACCTACCTACTTTAGATATATGTTTATGCATGTAGTATAATATATTATACTTGCATAGTCATATAAAGGTAATTAATTTTACCTTTGGACTATGAAATCACTTTTAACGTAGGTAAATGAAATATGTATTCTTTACTTAATACAAGAAATATTTTAACACTTAAATTGTTTCTTATATTATACATAGGTAGAAATATACATTTTATTTGTTACATAATAATTAATAATATACATTTTATATGTATTAACACATTTAATAAATATATTTTTCATTATTCCTTATAAAACTGATAAATTTACATATTATTCATATAGCTATATAAATTAAAAATTAAAAAATACATTGTAAATAGTTATGAGAACAATATGATAAATAAAATAGTAGCTATACTTGTATCTACAGATCATAAAGTACCTAGAATAGATAGGTACCTACTTTATTCTATAGAAACACTACCTAATAATTAGACAAGTTTAATCATAATTAAGTTGTAGTCTTTGTAATCTCAGATCTAGCTTTTACCTACAAATTATAAACCAAATGTACCTTCCTAATAAAAGATATAAGTTACCAAAATAATATGAGTGGTTTTAATTATATCACTCTACGTGTAGCAATGCTATGGCAATAAATTTACTTTCATATAGAGGAACTGTAAAACATTTATGTTTTAATAAATTCAAGTTAATTAGTTGAGGATGAGGTTCAGGGATTGTATTGATAACATTGAACATTTTTATTATAACTGAAGATATTGGATTATCAAAAAAAGATGAATAATTTAGTTTAATTACTTCAATTTTTATTTCACCATTAAAATATTTTATTATTTTATTAATTCTGATTATTTCATCATTATGTAAAATGAAATATTTATCTTTTACGTTTTTAGAACTTACAATAAATTTTTCTAAAATAACTTGTTCATATAAAATTTCTGTTATTAATTCATTTAATATTTTGTTGTACGGTAGTTCATTTTTAAGAATAGGATAACTGGGAGTGATAAAATTAGTTTGAGAATTTACATGTTCGATTATACGATTATATACATTTTGAAGGGGATATTTAAAATGTTTACTAGATTTTTTAATGAATTGTAAGTAATTTTCAAATTTAAATGCACTGAATGAATAGGGCACCATGAATCAAAACAAAATCACATATGTGTATTAAACTGTGAACATTATACCCAACATATTCTTCCCCATAATGAGAAGAATATTCGATCACAAATTGTTTCAACAATTCTTTTGCTAAATTATTATAAGTTTGAAAGTTTCAGGAGAAATTAAAACTCTAATGGCACAGCTTAAAAGCATAAAATGTTTATATAATGACTTTTTTAATCGACCTTTTAATACAATAGGTCCTGTATAAAGTAAGAATAATCTAAATTCAGTAGCTTTCCAATATTCTGCTTCTTCTAATGTCCTTGGAACACGTTTAAACTCAGATGGTAAATATGATTTAATAGTATTAAGTTCATCTGAGATACTTTCAACATTTACTAACCTAACAGGTTTTTTACCTTTAGTCCAAAAAACAATTAATCTTTTCATAACACCAAGATAAATATTATGCATATACTCAAGTACTACAGTTGATGTTATATTTATGGGTAACTCTTCTAGTGGGCTTGAATCTTTATGATAATACTCATCGCATTTATTTCTGAATGTTTCATCAGTTCTATGAGAAGCATCAACATCTAAAAAGGCCATTCGATTATTTAAATAAGTACCTTCTACTGTACATGAATTACATCCATGGTAAGCATTAAAAATGATACAAATTCTTAAATTTAAATAAAAAGAACGTTTAAAAATTTTTTATACAATATACACCTAATAAACTGGATAGTAAGCCTTTAATTAATAAAAATAAAAAAAGTACACTAGTACTTACAAAAAAATTCTGAAACAATTTTAACTGGGTAAGTTGGCCAGTCTATTTCGGGTTCTGCTAATAACTTTATAAGTTCAGGAACATTACCAGATTTAGGCCATTTTGAAATCCATAAATTTCCACAAAATATTAACCAAGAATATGGTAAAACTGAATACTTATTTTCAGATTCAAAAAATCCGACTACCCACTGTAAAATAAACGCAATATATTCTGTAAAATATTTACAATTATGGATACCTCTCTCTCTCTATGGTTTCAATCCGTAGATTGGTTTGCAGCCATCTTCCAGTCTTCTCTCCTGTCTGCCTTCCTTTTCATTTCCACATACGAGTTACATCCTTGGTCCTTTATTATCTGTTGAATGAATTCCAATCTTGGTCTACCCCTACGGTTATTTCCCTCTATTGTTCCTTCTATTATCGATTTCAACAATCCTTCGTGTCTTATGATATGGCCTATCCATTCATTTCGCCTTCTGACTATGTTATTCCATAGTGACTTTCCATCTGATAGTCTTTCCAGTACTTCTACATTGGTTACTCTATCCACCCAGCTTATCCTTAGCATCCTTCTATAGCACCACATTTCAAACGCCTCAAGTCTTCTTTTTTCCTCCGCTGTTATTGTCCAGGTTTCACACCCGTACAGGGCAATGCTCCATACATACGTCTTTAACATATTCTTTCTTATTTTCAGACTCATGCTTCTTGATGTAAATATATTTTTCTTTTTGTTAAAGGCTATTTTGGCTTGACAGATACGTTTTATAATTTCAATTCTGTTTCTTCCATCCTTGCTGATTGTGCTTCCCAGGTATGTAAACTCATCTACTTGTTCTATTGTTTGATTTCGTATTTTTATCTGTATTTTTGTATTATTTTCCCTTTCACATACCAGTACTTTTGTCTTCTTCATATTTATTCTCAATTCCAGTTCTTTTCCAAATGTTTTATCCATAGCATTAATTAGTTGAGCCAGATCTTTCTTGCTGTCCGCAATTAAAGCTATGTCATCAGCAAAACGTAGCATACTTATTTTTTGTCCGTTAATCGTAATCCCTGGCTTGGCATTTTCGTTTATCATATCTACTGTATGGATACCTATTTACATAAAAATAAAATAATGGTTTAAACATTTATATAATATGTAGGTAATCAAATATTAAATAAATGACACGTAGCTGTTTCTAGTGTGGAGCAAATGGGTCATCTGCTTTTTGTGGTTAGTAATATCTTTTACTGATACAGTAGAAATTGATGAATAAAAAAAAAATTTCAATGTAGTAAATACCTAATTAAATAACTAAAATTTGTTTCATGAAAATTTATCGGTACATATTACAATTTGGATTATTTTATTAATTAGGTATTATTTATACTCTATTTTTTCAATACCTATATCTTACACTTTTAATAATTTTTCCTGAGTACCAGTAACAAACTACTTATAGAATATAGTCTTTATTTTATGATCTATGAGTACAAACTACAATAAACATTAAATACATTACCTATCTAGGTGGATAATTCACTGATTCCTAAGTTAAAAAGAAAAAGAAACATTGAAATGCAACACAAGTAATATTTTAATTGAACTATTCCTTTTTTGTATCTAACTCATTAAATTAAGAGGAAATAAATAAAATTAAAAAAATACATAGAAATTATAATTACCTGATTAGAGGCCATGATGTTTACGTACACAACAAAAATACAAAATACTCAATTGTCAAACGGCAAATGCTAAACGGAAAGTAAAATAAATCACACGCCAGAAAATAACAACAGTTTAGGCAGCAGCGCGTTGGGACTGGGAGCTTGGGATGTGCATGTGGTAATGGAGGATGATTGTACGATTATCTCGGGAAAAACCTGTGATAGATTGAATATTATTAGGTATATATAAATATTTATGGAATATTCTATAAAAATATGTTGGTGGATTGTGATGAATATGCGACGTATTTGCGATGTAGTATAATAATATACATAATATATATTTATTATATATTTTATTATTAATATAACATATATTTTATATGTTATATTATTCTATTTTTAAACAATATAATATATTTTATTATTATTTTGAAGTGCCCTATGATATCTATGCGAGTGCATAAATGTGATGATCTCAATATTAATTCCATGTACTTTCACAAAAGTCAATGGCATACACTTGCTTCTAAGATTTCTCAGAGACGTAATTTTGAATTAGATTTGTTGCACGTTATCTATGCGATAACGTATAGAAGTCGTTTTCCGCAGTCACATTCGAGATCTTAAAACTACAGTCGCATAGTTGTTAACATCCTGAATTTGCACACAGGGTAGTTACTTGATAACATTTTTCATTACCTATTATATCTATGGGATATTATATAAATATCACCAATTCACAAAATACCTATTTGCGAAATTACAAAATTTTAATAGCGTGAACGACAATTAAGTCCATGACCTGAACCGAAATAATTACAGTTTGGTTCTATTATATTAAATAACATTAAACATATTATATTATATGTATATATTATATATATTTATCAGTACTTATTTTTGTTATCTTGCATTTATTTATAGTACACCCATACGCGGTTGTATACACTATGAATTGTGTATTTGTGAATAATGAGAGCGGCTAGTTTGCAACCCGCTATAGCTATTCGATGTCCGCTAAGCTTTGAACTTATTACTTAGTACATTTTTTTTTACAGTTTTTACTTCAAAACAAATTAATACCTATGTTCCACGTGACTCTATGTACTATAACTATAATCTATTACCTATAATCTATTAGGTATAAGTATACCTAAACAAGTTGGAAATTAAGATCAATAAGATTAGGTAAACCTAAAATATTAAGTATCTACTGACATTTTATTATATTTTATAAAAGAAAACGTAAGTATCCAAACTACTATTTATAACGGATGATGCGAAGATTTTCTGTACAGTTAATTCTTTAAGTGATGCTTAAATATGCATATATAGTAATGATCTCTTCAGTATAATCTTAATAAATTTCAATTATGGAGTAAATTAAATTTATTACCATTAAATATTGATAAATGTCATACGATAACATTTACACGTAAAAAAAATCCTATCTTTTTTAACTATAATATTGAAATGTGTTCTCTCACTAGAGTAAATGTAATCAAAGATCTTGGTATTTATTTTGAAAGTGATCTTTCTTTTAAAACGAACCATAATATGATAATTAATAAATCGTTTAAGATGTTAGGCTTCATTAATAGAAATACTAAATATTTTAAAAATCCGTTATGCTTAAAAACCTTGTATACATCTTTAGTTAGATCCAATCTTGATTTCGGCTCCGTAATCTGGTCATGCAAATACTTGACATATATAAATGATTTTGACAATGTACAATATAAATTTTTAAAAAGGATTTCATACTTATCAAATATTCCATTATCTAGGGACTCTCTCCATCTAACTCAAGATTATATTAGCCTTGTTTCTCTTTCACTTAGACGGAAATTAACTGATATTACGTTTGTCTATGATCTTATTAATTACAATATTGTGTGTCCCGAATTGTTGTCTGAAATCAGCTTTCGAATTCCATATCTAATTACACGTAATTCAGAGTTATTTTTAGTTCCTCATTACAAAACGAATAGTGGTACCAATTCTTTTTTCCCTCGAGCTTTAATGTTAGCTAATAAAATTTGTATACATTTAGACATATTTTTTCTCTCACGCGAATGTTTTAAATCTAAATCTTTGTTATTATTAAAAAATATTGATTGATTGATATGTAAAAAAAAGAAATGTTTATAATGTAACTATAATTTTTAGTTTATTACTTTTAATTCAGAGTTATTATTTATATTATTTTATCTGTTTTTTGTTAGGTTTTACTACACTTATTTAGTTTTTAGTTTTTATCTGATACGTTTCCTTTATATAATTTGTAAAAGGGTATATACCCGTTGATATACTACATAAATAAATAAATAAATAACTGTTTTGATTTAAAAAAAGTTATCATTAGGTATTTTTATATAAGTTAATTATTTACTTTTATGTATCAACCACTGTTGTTAACATATTAAGCTTAAATACACTAAATTCCGTTATATATATATATCTTGTTAACATGTACCAGTAGGTTAAGTTTAGGTCCAACAATTTAGGAGTGTAGGTATTGTATGTATATAAATATATATGGTACTGTCGAGGAAGGAAAAAGAGGAGAGATAGAAGCAAAGAGCGGCACAAAGGCAACAAACAAGTAATGTAACTAATGTAATTAAGTTTATGACTGTGCGCCAAAGGCGAAACGCGAGAGGGATAATACTCCGTAATGCTATAAGTGTAATAAATTTCATAAAATCAAAGTCATTAAATTCCAGACTTTATACTATACTTTGCAATGAAATGGGTTCTTTCTGACCATGAAAAATTGCTTCTTCATACTGAAGTAAGGTGGTTGTCTCGAGGTAAAATATTATCACGCCTCTTTGAACTCAGAGATGAAGCACGAATTTTTCTTCTGGAACGTAATAATACACTTTCAGAACATTTTTTAGACGAGCAATGACTTGCAATTCTGGGTTATCTTGCAGATATATTTGAAAAACTAAATTATCTAAATTTCAGCTTACAATTGAACAATACTAATAATTCATTTCTTTCTGATAAAATCAATGCTTTTAAAAAGAAAATACTTCTGTGGAAAAATTATATCGACGATGACAAATTTGAAATGTATTCATGTTTATCAGAATTCCTCAGTGATAATGATGTGGATATTAATATTATAAAAGAAATTATAACTACTCATCTAATAAGTTTACAAACAAACTTTAATACACTGTTTGTAGATTTCCCAGAAGAAATTCTAGGTTGGATAAGAAATCCATTTCATTTTAGTATCAATGAAATAAAATTAGGAAATTTAAAAATAAGAGAAGAACTTATTGACTTGTCATCAGATGAAAATCTACGTATCAGATTTCAAGAAAATGCATGTGATACATTTTGGATTTCCATCAAATCTGAATATCTAGAATTATCAAAACAAGCAATATCAATTTTACTTCCTTTTGCATCAACTTATTTATGCGAAACAGCATTTTCAACACTAACAATAATTAAAAACAAATATCGCTCCAGATTAAATATTGAAGCTGATATAAGAGTAGCAGTGTCAAATATCAAACCAAACATAAAATCAATCATGTCTAAAATGCAAGCTCAGGTCTCTCATTAAAAAAATTAAATAGTAATTTTATAATTTTAAAAATATTAAAATTTTGATTATCATTATAATAATACATTTTTTAATTTTAGATTTTATAAAACTTTAAATTTGTATTTTTTTCTTGTTTTTGATTAATTAAATTAAAGAAATATTAAAGTTGCCTAAAATTAACGATTTAATGTATATGAATAAAACGTGTGTATACATTAAGACTATCAAGTAAATTTATATTATTCACTTACATAATGTTGGCAGGAAGGGGGTTCGTATTATCAAAATAAATCATTTTGGGGGGTCGTTGATCAAAAAAGGTTGCGCACCACTGTACTAGCGCATTCTCATTTGTAAGTAATTAACTATAACTTCAGAAGCAACTTCAACTTTATGAAAATAACAGCTGAATTTAAAATTTAAATTATTTGGAGTAATATCATTGATTACATCTTTATTGTTTAATAGTACTTATATCATAAAAAAAAATACAATGTATGAACAACAGTAGTTACGATCTACTTAGCCATTAGCGATTTTTTTATTGTTTGTAGCTTACAATTTTATAACTTAAGAGTTGGATACTGAATATAGATAATTAATTGAAAACAATGGAATCAAATAAAAATCGTAAAGATTTATAATTTTAATTACGAACAACTTGTTCGTAAAATGTTTAATTTTGAAATATAAGTTAAAAACAACTATAAACACTATCTTCTATTATGTTAAAATAGGACCAAGTACACCAAGCGCTATAGTTGCGCGTAGTCGCCAACATGACATAGCCAATGCATGGGTAGCATAGGCGTGAAATCCAACCTGTGTAACCGTGGCCAAAACGATCGAACGGTTCGTATGTTAATCAGGGTCTTATCACAAAATTAACCCTGGGATCTATGATTTCTATTTAATATTATACATAGGTATGTATTTAATAAATAGATACAGTGGCTCATGGATACATTTGGATAAATTTATGGATAAGCTGGTTTTTAAACAATCCGTTTTGACATATTAATTAAAAAAAACAGTCGTACCTTATAATAACAATTCCTTTATTGCCAATATTAGTTGAAGTTTAAAAAATAAAGGAAAAATATTTAGCTGTAAAATTAAGATGACCATTGTATAACAATATTAGTATAACTATATTAACATACATATTTATTTAAACTTTTTCCCTTTCAACGAGGAATTTCTTGATAGAATAAATACAAAATACTAAGTTTTTTCACTGGATGCATAAATTAATGTGAAATATGAATATAATTAATAATGTGTGGTTTGAATTAAATATATATTTTAAATAAATTAAAATTAAAACTTTACTTTTTAAATTTTTTTTAAATACTTGTTTTTTTGTTGTTGTTTTATTCAACTGTTTTTAATGATTAAAACAAATAGAAGTTCGTTTTACTTAGCTTTTTTAAACAAAACAACTCTGGCTACAATTGATTGGATTCGCCGCGCAGAAATTAGTGAACTATGTGGTGAGAAACCGTGTAAATGTGTACACACATGTGATTGTGTGTATTGTGTGTACTTTGAGACTAATTGAAAAATGTTAACTAAATAATGGTAACACACTTTCTGACAACAATGGGTTGCTTTGTAA